TTGTTAATGAGTAAGGCCAGGTTAGGGAAACCCTTTTATGTTGTGAATCCATGACATAGGCAATCAAAGCTTTGAACGTCCTGTCCTCTGGCTAACTTTGCTGTGCTGTTCCACAGAGATATTTCTGTCCAGGGAGAGTATGGGATGGAGTTACAGATGTTGAATTAGTGAATTACCTTCTTGATTAGAAGATTCTGCTATGAAGCAGAGGTTTGAAAAGGACTAAAGTTCTGTCACTGTCTTCTCCCAAAGTCAAGGGGAGGCCCAGCAAAAAGAGGTGAGAGAAAGAGGTGCCAGCTGAAATCTCCCAGTGCCTCACCTGGGAATTTATCAATGCGGATCTGGCTCCAGACAGGCCTGGTTGATTTTATGAGATAGGCTAGCAAAGGCAAAGATGATGGCTCAGTTTAAGGTGTCAGCCTTTGATGTGTGTCATGCCAGGTTTCCTGTCAGGCTACCAGGGTGTGAGGCAGCTCTGCCAACCAGCTGCTGTGGGCTGAGGGGGAGGCAGGAGCTCTCTGGGGCTGTGTCCAGATTCCTGCCGCATGACAGCTGTGTGTTGCTGCACTGAATTTGCTATACGTGGACTTTGCTTCTCCCCAGGGTCTGGTGGTCCCTGTGGTTAGGAATGTAGAAAACATGAACTTTGCTGACATAGAGCGTGCTATCTACGAGTTGGGGGAGAAGGTAAGGAAAGTTTTCTGAGGAGGGGTGGGGGGAGTGGAAAGAATTGAAAATGCTGGATCGGCATGTATTGATTTGGTCTCTGTGTCGTCATCTCTGACCTCTGACACACTGAGCTGTGCTGTGGGGAGTGATCCAGTTACATGTCTGGCTGTGCCTTTGCCTTCTAGGACAGCTCTACTTGTTGCCCATCCAGAAGACTACAATCTGTGCATTAGTGACATGGTATATCTTCACCTTTGTCTTTAGAGGCCAAGGCTGAACTGCCCTGGGGTAGAAGTCCCTCTGTCTGTCTCCTGCAGAAGCAGGAGTTGGAAGCAAAGGCGAGAGAATCCTTCCCAAAAGCCACAAGGTGTTCACTCTAAAGACAGGATGCATTTTCAAGCAATTTGTGCTGATGTTTAGTTGAACAAATCAATAAGCAAAGCCCTTCCAATCAATATTTATTCCTGGAAAGAGTGGATGTCCAAACCCTCGTTCTTTGATCTCTGTGGTCTGTGTGGCTTTCTAAGACGTTATTTTTACTTCTAGGCACGGAAGAATGAACTGGCCATTGAAGACATGGATGGCGGCACTTTCACAATCAGCAATGGTGGGGTTTTTGGGTCACTCTTTGGAACACCTATCATTAATCCACCCCAGTCTGCCATCTTAGGCATGCATGCCATCTTCGATAGGCCTGTGGCTGTGGGAGGCAAGGTAGGTGGACCTGCACCAGAGGTTTTAGGGAACAAAGGACGGGGCTCAGCAGACTGAGGACCTTTTTCTAAGGGGTTGGTGTCACTTCTGAAGCACTTCAGAGTGAAGAAGGAGCAGAGACTAATGGGCACCTTTGCTGGCCCTGGTACTTGCCTGAGCTGTGCAGGGGACTTTGTCCTATCTGTAAGTGGGCAGACTGGTTATAATCCTCTTAGGTGTGGGAAGGAGGAGGTTGTAGCCTTTGTGATAGGGAATGGTTCCAGGAAGGGCCCTTATCTTGTATGTGGCATGGACTCAGCCTGGGTGGATGGGTAGATAATTTTGCCAGGCAGGACACATCCAGGAGGGCCTGAATGCAGGATTCGGGGTGGGAAAAAGCCAATTCAGGTCTTTCCTGAATTGGCAGGAGGGGGCCATGCAGGCAGGAGCACTGAGCTCTCTAATCCCCTGTCCCTCCTCAGATCGAGGTGCGGCCTATGATGTACGTGGCGCTGACCTACGATCACCGGCTCATCGACGGCAGAGAGGCCGTGACCTTCCTGCGCAAGATCAAGGCAGCGGTGGAGGATCCCCGCGTGCTGCTGCTCGACCTGTAGGGCAGCCACACCCCCACACAACCCACCCAGGACAGGGCCGCAGCACCAGCAGGGACGATGCAGGGCATTCAGGAATTGGCAGGGGTCATTCCAGTCTTTCTCCCTCCGCTGTGATTGGAGCTGTCCCAGAGGGAATTACGGGGATAGCTCCTACCTCCTTTCCTATTTTGTTTAATGAAGGTTTAGTATCTCAGAAGAACTTGCCGTGCAGTGGGCCAGCCACTGAATGGCACTGCCTTTCCAGAGCCATCTGTGTGGCATCTTCTCCCTCGCAGCACCAAACTCTCACCTCTAGCTTGTCCTATACCACTGGAAACTGCTTGCTGCTGCTGTGCTAGGGTACCCTTCCCTGCCCCTCCATGGCAGGTTCAGCTTTACTGCCTAGCACTAAGGTTCCTGGGAGGGAGAGGAGAGGAGAGGAAAGGCTACTGTCCTGTCCATGTTTTGCTTGAAAATATTTCACACTCATCTGCCTTGCAAGGGTGGTCTGACCCCGAGGCCACTTGCAGGAAAAGTTTTGGTCAGAGCAGGGCTTGAGGTAGGTGTCATGCTTCTGGCAGTGCCCTAGTTACACTCCCTCCACAGACAGTAACACGGGGTGGCAGCTCCCCTACTTTCCCTTGGCGATTGTCTTTCACCAGCCCAGTCACTGTGGCGTGAATGTTCTTGTTGGGGTGGGCAGAGCCCGTGCCCTCTGTGGAGGTAGCACCGTTCCTGGGGACAACCCTTTCACCATTACATGCCCGACATGGGGGTGAGAACCAGCCCCCAGCAGCTGTCCTTGGCACACAGCTCACTGGCGGTGGGTCTGCCTGCTGGCTTCCTGCGTGCGGGGGCTTGGCTGCTCCCAGCCGACACAGCTGGGGGGCCAGGCCTTTCACTGTAATGTATATCCCAGCCCACGGGTGCTGGTTTTGGGGGGAGGGGGGCAGTTCTTAATCTGATAGCGCACACATGAATTGAGGGGTGAGGGGGTTGCTAGTGCCTGCAGAGTCTATTACTCTTACCCCCTACACAGAACTTGTAACAAAAATATTTAACACAGCGGATTTTAAATGAAATAAAACTGTGCAACGACTGCAAGGTGGGGTGTGTTTGAGTGGGCGAGGACTCTGGCATCAGCAGCATCCTGAGTGCAGTGCAAGAGTCCTGTTATCTGGTGGTGAGAGAAAAGGGGCAATGGGCACTGACCCCATCGCTGGTGGTACTAAATTGAGTCTTCTCTGCCTGTGAATACTGCTGTCCTCAAAGTCTCTGCCAAAGAATTGGCTGCTCCCAGCAAAGAGGAGTTTTTAGGGCTGGAAATCAATCCTTTTCTAGCAACAGAATTATTGCAGATGGTGAGAGGAATTCCCAGTGTTAGCTAAAGGGCATGATAGCCAAGAGAGAGACCTGGGACAGGCTCATAATGTTTTTCAGAAGTTGAATTTTTACTGCTGCAACAGGGGAGAATTGTAATTCGTGCAAGTGTGGAAAAGCTGTTGCAGAGGGAGAAAGGAAGCAAGAGCAAGGAACAGTGGAAGCTGTCTGTGGTACTGGGTGTTTCCTTAAGAAGCTGTCCTTGTTGGGACAACACCAAATCATTCCTGGATCATGGCAGGGTTTTCCCAGCTCTGACATCAACTTCAGAGATGGTTTACCCTTCCCAGCTACAGCTGAAGAGGGCAGCCCCTTCTAACAGAAAATGACTGCACTCACAGCTGCCAGACAGATGGAAGGGAGGGCAGTTCCTGGTACTGGTGCCTGCATTTTCCTGGCAGCTAGGGACAAAAACAGAGTGCAGAGTCAGCTTCTTTGCCTGGCCCTGGCTAAGCTAGGTTAGGGGAAGAGGAAAAAACCCTTCCTTGTTCTGGGAAGGGTAGAGTCTAATTCTTGTACAAATAAGTTGAGTGAAAGAGAAGGTTTTGATTAAAAAATGCTGCCTACATTCAGCCTCTGTGCTGGTTTAGGATACAGGGGGTCCACCTTGACTTTGTACATGAGCCTGGGGAAGCCTTTGTTCTGTCTGGAACTGCAGTAAGTGAGGTCTTTGAACCAAGCAGGAAGGGAATATACAGTCAAAATTATGCAAACTGCTTTATTTAATCTGCCCTGTCAAAGCTTGCTGTAATAGAATAATGCTTGAAACTTCCTTTTGACTCCCTTGGGTGACACCATGAATTGTGAGATGCCATGCTGTGGCTTTGGACAGAGGGTCCTTCCTCCTGAATCTCCCCTGAATCACAGGACTAGGAGGCTGGTGGACAGGGGTGAAAGGATGCAGCTGGAGGGTTCAGCCAGTGCGGGCTGCCATGGAGAGGAAAAGCTCCAGGCTCAGCTGCTCCTGCTCTCTGGCCTTCTGTGGCATTAGTGGTCAGCTCCCTGCTCGGTCATCCGGTTTCTGCACGGCAATCGAGGTGTCTGTGCCTTTGCTGGTGTAGGAGATGAGTTTCTCCAGAGCTCTGCTTCCCTCTGGTGGACGAGCACTCCTGCTGCTGCCTGGGAGGGTGTCTGCGGGCACAGCACGGCAGCCTCCACCTTGGGCTGTCAGCAGACACATGTGTTTGTGCTTTTTCTTTAATCCAGAATCTATGTACGCGTGGCCTCCTTCCCTCTGTGCTGGCTCTCAGGGCTCCCCCCTTCAAACCCTCACGGTGTGAGCCACCAGGGATGGCCATGCTCAAAGCACAGTTGGCAGGGCTGCTGTCCTGCCAGCGGGAAGGAGCACCCGGGCGTGGAAGGCTGGAGCCACAACACCTAACAATGACAAAAGGCTGGAAGAAAACCCTGGCATTTCTCCCACGTCTGAGCTGCAGCCACACAGCTGTGCAGACCTGAGGCTGTGAGGCAGGCAGCAGCACAAGGACACAAGGCCAGGCACTCACTGCCACCTTCTGGGGTTTGGCTGCAGGGTGCTGATGGCTGGGGTGACACCAACCCAGGGCTCCCAGGCAGGGTGCAGAAACAGATCTGGGGCTCTCTGTCACTCAGCAGGCTTGGCCTACACCTCGCTGATGCAGCTCAGAAACAAAAGGATGCTTCTTTAAGTGATATTGAGTCGTTTATTTTTTTCAGAGGGCTCCTTCTTGTGTCACCCCTGCAGCAAGGATGACCCACACACACACATGCAGTCAGGGAGGGGCAGAGACAGCAGGCTTGGGCTCCAGCCAGCAGGGCCCAGAGGGGCTGCATTTGAAAGCCACAAAAAGTAACAGAGCAGGGGGGTCACTGTGGTAGCAGCAGAGATAAAAAAACACAGGAAGGGAGTTCCAGGGCAGGGTGCTGAGCTGAGGAAGAGATGCCCCAAGAAGGGGAAACACCACCACTTCCTGGAGGTGGGTACCCAGGTTCCTTTTCCCCCCAGGGAGGACCTGGAGAAGACAGCCCCAGCCTGACACCTCCTCTTTGGAGATGGCAACGAACAGAAGCCGAGACAGAAGGACAGGTAAGGCTGCAGAACCTCATGTGTGCCCCACCTCAGGGCAGCCCTTGAGGCAAGCCTTCCCCAGCAGGCAGTGCTGCCAGTGCCACTGCGGCCACAAGTGCCAGGGAAGCAGCCCAGGGCCCGCCTCCCTGGGGGAAGAACAGCCTGCCTAGCCCACCAGCTTGTTCCACGGGACTGTGCTGAAGAAGGAGTGAGACTTCAGCTTTGTTATGCCACCTCCTCCAGAGCCCAAGCGTCGTTTTGGATTGTACTGCAGGAGCTGCAGAGAAAAGCAATGGAACATGAGGATGGGGAGATGGGGACACTGGAAATGGTACCCAGGCTGGATCCTGCCTTTCCCCAACCTCTAGTCCCATTCTCCCTCCCATCCACCCAAGCCCCTCACCTCAGTGAGCAGCGATGTAGCAGCCAGGCTGAGGCCCTCTGGCAGATGCAGCTGGGTGTGAGGCTGAATCCCTGATGGATGGTTTTGGGAGAGTGGCTGCAGGAGGCAGAGGGTGATGGTTAGCAGAGGCACCAAGGAGGGCTGGAGCACCCTTTGAATCATCATTGCCACATAACCCCAGCCCTACACAGCAGCATTTAAAAGCCAGGGCCCCTAACACCTAGAGACCATGCACAAGCACTGGCAATCACATGTCTAAAGGAACCTGGCCAAGAACTGAGATGCCAGCAGGGCTAGGCTTCCTCCCAGCCCTACACAGCAGGCAGCCCTTAAGCCTCCTCCTCCCCTGTCCTCCTTGCACAGCTCCTCAGCCTCTTACCACTCCTGTCAGCAACTCATACAAGAGAGAGCCAAAGCTCCAGCAGTCAGCTGCTTCAGTGGGCTCCATGATCCCCCCAACTTCTGCAGAAAGAGAAAGAGAGGGGTTAGAGCTGGAGACAAGGGGCACCAGTGACTACACTGTGCTGGGCACATTTCACTGCCTGCAGGAGCCCCTCTGTCCAATTGGAGCCACTGGGCAGAGAGCTGGAGAAGCCAGGGGACACGTCCCTTACCTGGAGCACTGTACAGCTCTTCCCATGCCTGGCTGCAGTACTGGGGCTCCACCTCTGTCCACTGGCCAAAGAAGGTGAGACGGACATGACCTGCAGAGAGAGCAGCACCAAGTCAAAAGCAGGAAGGTTAGGAAAGACTGGGCACTTTGGTTGTAGCATGAAGCCAAGACACTTCCCTGCCACTGGGAGCAGCCAGGGCACTGGGGCCCTGTCATGCCCTGAACACAGAGGAACTGAGCATCCCCTGGCACCACACACCCCTCTGCTGGCCTCCCAGTGCTTGCCTGAGGTGCCCAACAGGTGAGACTGCTTAGGCAGGCTCCAAGCTCACAGATCTCAGTGCAGGCTGTAGTGAGGAAAGAAGCAGGTTTTAAAGGAAAAGAGGGGGAGAAGGTTAGCTTTCTCCTTGCAAAACCCTCTGCATTTTTCTTAAGCAATTTGTAGCTCTCCGATTTGTCCCAGATGTTGCCAGCTGAGCAGGGACTTGCAGTGACAGCAAGACCCATGGCTCAGAGGGATGGGACAGCTCCAGAACATCCCCAGCAGGCAGTTACTATAAGCAGGGGAAAACTAACCCACTAGTCCCACTAACCTGAGGCACAGTTCAGCTGGTCTCAGCTTCCCCAGGCTGGGATTTCCCAGGCAGCCAACCCCCACATGGGAACAGGGGCAATGCATTTCTGTGGTTATGGCCCTTGACTCTCCTGCTGCAGAGCTATCTCTTGTAATAATTACTTGGAAAACCTAAGTGAGATCACACTTCCAATTTCAGAAATACCAAACCTTCCCAGACTCCCACCCTCCTCCAAAGCAAACACAAGAAAGTTCACATCTTCTGGAAATGGGGCAAGCAGCAGTCTCCCAGCTGGGAGACCAATTTCCTCCTCCTTGGGGCAGCAGAAAGGGGCATTACCTACCAGCTGTATCAAGCAGCACGTTCCTGGGGTTGAGGTCCCGGCACAATATACCCTGTTGGTGAAGTCCCTCTAAGGCCAGGAGGATTTCTGCTGCCCACAGCTGCACCTGCTCTTCCTTTACAGCCCACGCTCTCCGGTTGTGCCCATGGGAAGCCAAAGCCCTGCATTGTCCTGATGCTGGCTGTTTGCTGAGGCAGCCACAAGTCAGGCTTGCTCCCCAAGAAGGCTCCCACGTGGCTGGGTCAGGCACACTGGGTTTGCCAGAGCTGGACAGGGCAACTCCTGCAGGAAGCTGCCTCTCACCCAGGGTCAGGAGGGGCTGAGCCTGAGAGGCCTCAGACACTTTCTGAGCTGGCAGTCGCCCTGCCCCTGGCTGGCCCCCTCTCACAGTCTTTGGTACAGAGACAAGCCCCTGGGGAAGCCTGGGGCCTTGCTGGGAGGCTGTTCTCTCAGATATGCAGCCTGTGCTGCTGGTTAGATCATTCCACGGGTAGACAACCAGGCCCTGGCTGGCAAGATGGCCAGGGCATTTGGCTGACGCTGCTGGAAAATGGTCCACAACAGCAGACACAGTCTGTGTCACACTCAGATCCTGTCCTCCAGGTGCAGCCCCACTGCCACCAGCAGGAGCCAGGAGAAGCTGGCAGTGGTTCCCTGAGCCAGAGTCTGCGGGGCCAGGGGACTGCTCCTGAGGGAGTGAGGCATCAGTGTTTCCCAACACTTGGTAGTTCACAGAGCCTGGGAGGCCACTGCCTGTCCAAACAGGGAGGAGGGATACTTGGCTGCCACCCTGGGAGTTTCCCACACCATCCTCCGTGCCATGGTCCTGGAGGGCTTGAATGGTGTTTGAATCAGCACAGTCCTGCTGCACACAGTACTTGGAGCGGAGGTGAGACCACAGTGTCCCCCCTGGAAAGCAGAAAGGAGAAAAGCGATGAGGCAGAAATTATCCCTGGTTCCCCCACTGTTGACATGGCCCATTCAGGCCCAGCCCAAGGCTCACACAGTGAGGTTGTGATGGAGCATCATTAATCTCCCCAACAGCAAAGCTCAAGTCCATGCAGAATGCAGCCCTGCCCTACAAGCACACCATGCCCAATGCTACAGCTTCCCTAGGACCTGGCACACACCTAAGTCCCATTCCCTCCTCCTTTAACAGCCCTCTCCCCACTCTACACCATTCTTTGATCCCATCTCTGCCACTACCACGTCACAGAAAAGCCACATCTTCACAAATGCTCCTGATCCCACTGCCATCCCCACTTCCCCCTGAAAGCCTTTCCTTCCTGTGTGACAGAAATTCCAGAGAGCTCCCACAGCATGGCATGAGGCCATGGGTCAGCAAGGAGCCAGAGCAACAAACCCTGGAGCCCACAGCGTGTTGCCAGGGCTTCCCAGCCTCACCACATTCAGTGCTGGCTTCTTGCTTCTTTCTGTAAACTCATCCCATGGCAATGCACAAGGAGTTGAGCCTGTTCTCCACGTCAGCCTCCATTTATCATTACTGGACTCCAGCTGCTGCTCCCTACACATCCATTCAACCAGCAGAGTAAATAAGCTACATGGGAGAAGCCTCCACATTGTCATACTTCTTCACCAGGATCTGGGACAACCTCGAGTATGCCTCCTTGATGTACCCAAACCCCAGTATGCTCACTGCTCCTTATGCCCTAATTTTCCATTTCCTCTCTTTGGTATGATCTCAAAATCCAGTGCAACCTTTTATAAAGGTCTTGTCAAAAGATGGTTTTGTTTTACAACATTCAGGTGAACTACCTCACTTTCTTTTCCTTCTCCATCACCTTCCTGTTATGATAATGCCAGTAAAATGAGGAGGTTTTTCTTTCCAAGATGCTGAATCACATCAACTTTGTTACCTAAAGGCATGACCGCTCCCTCCCATGAGGCGCAGTGGCTCTCTAAAGACTGAGGCTGGGTTCCATATAACACAGCCACACACAGACAACTCTTTCTCCTTGTAGGTCTCCACAGGCCCATTTCTAGGTTACTTGCTCAGCCAGTTCTGATCAAACCTCTGCAATTCACAGCTGAACTCCTCTGTTCATTAACTAACTCTCCAAGCCCTGGTACCCACCACCCTTCTATGAAGAAGACAGCTTACATTATCACTATAAAAAAAAGTCCCAAAACAGGAGAAGAAACATACTTTGTGTTTTGAAGAAAGGACAGTTTGGGATAAACAAGGATGCTTCACAGATGGAAGGCGAGGCTGTCCTCACTCACCCTGCACGTGCTCCAGATGGAGGAAGATGGAGTCCTCACTCACATAGTAGCACAACAGCTTGACCATGAAGGGGACCCCATGAGGGATGATGGTCTGTCGCTCACGGGTCTCAACGTGGGATTTGGGGAGGCTCTGAGGAGGTACAGGTAGATGGGTGGTACAGCACGGTAGGGACTTGGACTCTGTGCAGCCCAGCACCTGGCAGGGCTGGAGGCCAGGCAGAAGGGAGTGTGCCTTCTGCCAAGCCCCGCGGCTGCTCCCAGGTCACCCATGATGGAGCTCCCCATCTACACAAACTTGTGGCTCATACAGCTCTGTCTGTCCCCAGCACCCAGCTGTGAAAAGGCAGCGCTGGGCACAGCTCTGCCAAGGTAGGGCATCCCCATCTGCACTGTGGGACCCCGAGGGCACAGCTGCTCCAGAGCACTGACCCCTTTGCAGCCACCCTGCTCCCTTCAGGGAGGAACCTACCATCCCAACCCTTTCTCCTCCTCCCCTGGAAATGATGCTTCTCCCTCTCATGCCAGATCCTCCTTGTCCAGTTAATGAAGTACTTCATTGTTAGTTCCAAGGGCACTGAAAAATACCCTAGGACTTGTACTGAGCACACCTCACAACCTGTTTCAGGGGTTGACCCAGTTTAGCACAGGCTTGAAGTGTTACAAGCCAGAGAAACAGATGACCAAGGGGAACCACTTCCCTTCTGATCACAGAGGATGGCTGAGGCAGCCAAAAGAAGATTTTTGAGCCACGAACTTCGTCCAGCCTTTGAGAGCTGCTATTTGTTATCCTCTCACCTGCCCATCAGCTTGGACAAGGTGGCCCCAGCCTGAGAGGGAGAAGCAAGCAGATGAAACTGAAAACACCCACCTTGAGTATGAAGGTCTCACCAGTGGCTGGATCCTGGACAATCTGCACCTGGGACAGTATACACAGTACTGGTCAGAAGTGGCGACCCAACACACAGCCTATAGGAATGACCCAAAGGTCTCAACTCTGGAAGTGAAACAAACTCCCACCCAACTGGAAGAGTTTTGTGAGGCTCAGACCCCTACTTTTGAAAGACAAAACACAGGTTATTGGCAAGGAGATAGCCATGCAGCCAAGAAGCAGGAAATTAATTAAACCAAGAGGTGGCATGCCAAGGTGGCATGCCAACTCCCATGCCGGTTTTACTTCCTTCACACTGAAGGGTTTCACAGTGCTCTTTCTGGGCTCAAACTGGGCTCGGCAGGACAGGAGGATCACATCAGTCCTGACTGAACCAAACTGAGATGTGAGAACAGCAGTGGAGAACAATGTGCCATGTGTGTGGATACAGTAAGCCTGGCATCTTCACTCCAAGATAGTTAACTTCTAATTAGTTTCTTCATCTGGATAGTTCAGCTTTTGCTGAAGTCTAGATTATCCACAGGACTCCACCATTGTGGCACCTGGGCATCAAACACAATTCCATATGTGGGAAAGAATGAGGTGCATAAACCTCCCTGTAAATATCTTGGGAGGTGTGGTAAGCAAAAGTAATGGGAACATTAACAGATTGCCCAATTAACTCCTTAAGGGGTCTTGAGTCCTCTCCTATGAGTTTTTCTGGGTGGGAATGGTGTGGATAGATACCCCAACATCGCTTGATGGATGTGCTGAGGGCTGGCACCCCCATTCCAGCTGCTAGGACCCTCCCTTTGATCCACCCCAGCCTCACCCCCACATCTCCAGGTCAAGTCATTACCTTATCAATCACTCCCACAACCTTGCAGCGTCTCAGGTTCTCCACTGCTGAGCTCAGGGTCCTGATGGGCCGGAAGCGCAGGCTGCTGTAGCCCTGCAAGGTGGTAAGAGAAGATGACGTAGGAGCTAGAAATGCTGTTGTCTATTACAGTGGGTGAAAAAAGCGCCTGCATTTTCCAGAGGAGGCAACAATACTGCCCAGCTAGTCAACATGCAAAGAAAACACTGCAATGGCCATGATTCATTTCTATCACCAGCTGGACAATTTTCTTGGCCAACCCTTAGATTTTTATATTTTTTAGGGAAAGACCACTTGCAGCAGAGGTAAAAATTGCACCAAAATTTGAAGCTAGACCTGGACTGTTTCAACATTAAGGGGATCTGTGTGGAAGATAGTTGTCTTTCTCCCTGCATTCTTCCCAGTAGGCTCTGACCTTGCCCTGCCTCACTCCCCTTTCCCTTCTTTAACCACCTCCTTCCCACAATGCAGAAAGCAGCCATTGTCTTTGGTTTCCATACAGATGGAAACGATGGGAAGAGGACATTTCTAACATTTGACAGGGTGGTTCCCTGCAGTGGCTTCAGTCTCCACAAAACTGTCCATACCCACTACGGTGGCAGCAAGCCAAGCATACACACTTTGGAGGGTGGGGTCCTGGAAGCACCCTGGGCTGCCTGGGCCCACCTCGGCTCCTTGATCCAGGCAGGACGAAGAGCTGCCAGCTCCCTTGCAGCCACTGGCAGCCAGAACACTCGGCAGCTCCATGTGCCTGCCGTTTTCTCTACACCATCTTAGCGTGGCATCTGGCAGAGGCAGACAAGGAGGACCACCGGGGCTGCTTTATCCGCGTGTCCACACGCCCAGGCCCGTTTCCCGGCGTCACAGAAGGCTGCCAGCCCACCCAGCCTCACTGTCCCCAGAGCCCCTCACCGTGGCCGTGGTGCTGCCGCCCCCCGCCGCCCGCTGCAGGTGGCAATTGAAGATCTCCTCGGCGCGCCGCAGGTACTGCGTGATCTTCCGCTTCACGGCCTCCCGACGCTCCTTGTTGGGGTCAACTGCGGTCGGTGCAAAGGGTGGGTGTGAGGGGCCCGGCTCGGCCCCGAAGGACTGGCCTCAGTCCCCAGGGGGATGCCCCAGCCCTCTGCCCTTCTCCGGAAGGGATGCGCTCCCTGGACAGATGCCCCAGTGCCCTCAATACAGTCCCTAGCGGGATTTTCCCGTCCCCTTGTCATTCTCCCTGCGGGGATACCTTGGTCCCTCACGGAACTCCCGATGTGAATGCCCCGGTCCCCTGGCTGGTGTCCCCGGAGGGATGCCCCGCTCCCCGGGAGGTCGCACACACCCTGCACGCCGCGGAGCAGCACGTCCACGCCGTTCTGGTAGTGGTTGAAGGCCTCCTCGTAGTCCTCGCTGACGTCCCGCTCCAGCGCCAGCCGCAGCTGCCGCGCCGCCTCCACCAGGTAATCGCGGCGCCCGCCGCCCTCGGGCCCCGCCGGGCCCACGCGGCCCCGCCGCTGCCCCAGGTAGGCGCGGGCCTGCGCCAGCGCCCGGGAGCAGGGCTCGGCCTCCGCCCGGCTCATGGCGAGCGGGGCTGCGCCGCCAGCCGGGCGGCGAGGCACGGCCCGGCCCCTTCGCTTACCGGCACGGTGCCGCGCCCGGGCAGCGCGGCCGCCAGCATCCCCCGGCGCCGCCGGGCGGAGCGGCTGGGGCGCGGCAGGGGCGGGCGGTGCTGATTGGCCGCGGATGAGATCATCATCATCATCATCATCATCATCATCATCATCATCATCATCACCATCATCACCACCATCGCCCCCCGCGGGATCCGTGCCGGGGTCCCGCCCCCGCCCGAGGCAGGCGCTCCACCTCTCCGTTAACGCGCGGTGAGCGCCGCTGCTCTACTCGCTTTATTACCATCCGTATTCACCATTAATTGCCCTTAATTAACCAAGCTCCCATTCATTAAATTATGCCTTTGCAGCCGTGTTTCCTTCCTCCCATAACGCGTAATTAGCTGTGTTTTAATTAGTCTTTGTCGCTGTCGTCCACCCGACAGGTGCAGCCATTCAGCAGCTCCCCACTGCCGCAGTTAAGTTGGTGGGTGTCTTGCCACTTCATCATGGCCAGCCCAGGGTACCCCTGGCTCTTCCCGATTTCCTCTTTCAAGTGGGTGAGCTCTCAGCCAGCCCTTCTACCAGCTCTTGCAGGCTCATTGGGTTTTATCAGCTTATTCCAAATGTACAGCACAGGGAATATCAGCACAAATGCATTAAGATGCAGTAAAGTGACAGCGTAATTGAAATCCCAGCTGGTGGTTAACAAATGCTTTGTATGTGGATAATATCAGTCTTTGGCTTATCCTAGAAACATGTATTCCTGCCCTCCTGGCTTTTTCTCAGAAGGCCAGGATGCCTTGCAGGGCCTGCTAGATCACTGCAGTTATTAGTGAAGGAGATTTGCTGAACCAGGAGTGCTCAAGTGGTTACTACCAACTGGCCAACTGGTTTGCTGTGTCTGTGGGATGGTTGGTCCCAGATTAAATAGCTGCCTTACCACTGGCATGGCAGGGGACCTGCAAAGGGAGAAAGGCTGGAATGAAAGCTAAGGGATACCCTTGGAAAAACTGTGCTAAGATTGTTTGGGAAGAGGGAGGCCAGAGCACCTTTGTCTATCCCTTGCTAACCTATGCATGTCCCACTACAACAGGAAATGATCCTAAGATGCGGGTTTTCATTTTGTCAGGAGCTGGCCCTGTGCTGTGCCATCACACCATATCAGCCTGGTCAGTCACTGTGTCCAGTCACTGGACCTGGTACTTGCTGTGGGACTGGCAGAGGTGACACCCATTTGTGGCTGACCTGTGGTTACTTCAACCCTGCACACTTTTGTAGGGGATCTCCCTGGGCTCAGGTGCACTGGGCAGCTCTTTTGCACAGCTCATCCTGTTAACAACAGAACAGAACGGTAAAGCCTGTGCCCACAGCTCAGCATCCAGCAAACAAACACTGTCCCTCTTACAAACACCATTTCTTTGGGAGTATGAAAGTATTAACTATGCCTCAGAGGGCAAGTCTAGGAGGATGCAAAGCCATCTGCTTCGTAAGACAACTCACTGCCCAAACACAATCGGTGTGCTTGGTCCTTTGGTTTCTCCTCAAAACACTTCCAGGTTCCTTTTCCAACCTCTGCCTAGCAGCGACAAATTTTGTCTGCCCAGCCTATTTATACCCCACACCCTTTGTGGTCTTTTAATTCCCACCAGAGACTGGAGGCTCTTCCTTGAAGTGAAAAGTCGAGCAGACAAGAAGTGAAGGAGAGCCAGGGATGAGAGCAGGGGTGCTGCTGGGACAACTCACCTGCCTGGCTTCAGCAGATCTGTGTGGGCCTGGAGAGGACAGAGCACAGGAAAAACACAAATCCAGCACAATGTATCTGTAGAGTGGTTTGGATATTGAGGTGATGGTGGCAGGGAGATGTGTGAAGAGGAGTTGCCAGGAAGGCACAAAACTCAGTTAAGTTCTTCATCGAACACCTCTGAAGTGGCCAGAAGAGAGTGAGCCAAAGGCATCAGCAGGAAGTGCCTCAAGGATGCTCCTGTGAGGAAAAGTCTTGCCAAGGAAAACTTGTACCAGCCCTCAGGCACAACTGCCTTTACCTGTGGTCTTCCAGGTTCGCATGTCAGTACTGGACAGAGAACCTTAAATTTGGGGGATTACTTTCAGATTAACCTGTTGAAGAGCTTGTGGGCCTTGTTGGGAAGTGGGAACTGCCAAAGCAGAACCAGCACAGACAAACAGCAGGGAGAGGAGTGAGAGCTGCCTTTTTTCTCACAGGCTAAAACTGACACACGAGAGCTGGCAAAAGCTTAAAATATGCTGAGACTTCAAACATCACTGTCTTCAACAGGCAGGATTATGCCAAATTTTGTGAGGGTGTGAAAGACTTGTAAGTCACAATCAAGAAGTTAGGCCCTCGGTGTTTCTTTATTTGCATGAAGACACGTGGGAGACCTGCATGGGCACAGCCTGGAGACGCTGCTGGGTGGCAGGGCTCTGATGGCAGCCTGTGCTCAGGGAGACCAGAGGTAACCAGTGAAGCATCAGCTATGATGCTACATCTCTGGGCCAATCCCCACATCACCTTTACAGTTACTTCCCAAAAAACTTAATTTTTTTCCTGGTGCATAAGGCTGCTTTTTGTTTTGTCTCTCTATAACTATCCTCCTAAACCATCTTACTGCAGCTCTGGCTCCTAAAGCCTTATTAAACAAACCTTTGCCCTGTAAGGCTGGAAGACACAGGGAGCCCAGGGACACTGATAACCCAGTGGTGTGTTATTCCTGGGCTCTGTGGGACAGCTGCAAGGGGTACACATGCAGGGAAAGGATGAGGGATTTGGGAGCACCGGGGCTGGAACAAGTTTTCTGCCTGTCCATGGTGGGTGCTGCTGGCTTTGGGGCTGGGGTATGTCAGGGTCCCTTCACAAGGACACCAGTGTCCCCCTACAGCCCTGCACTGCAGTGCCTGGGGAACATGGAGTTCTGCAGATGCAGCTGACCTTGTCAGAGTGCTCACACATCTGCTGTGGCCAAGGAGGGCTGCCAGGAGCTGCAGGTATAAAAAACCTACAACTGGGACCACACAGAGGAGGGACAGGCAGACAGTGGTTGGTCCCCTTGAGAGGAAACACGGGCATTGGACACAAGCCCTGAAGCCAGGAACCCCTCTGCCCCTCAGAGCAGCAATCCCCCACCCTGATCCTCATATTTCCATTGGGTGTGATGTCCTGCTGGAAGTCCCTGCCACCCTGGGATGAATAGGGTCTTAGGACTGTCCCCTCTGGCAGGGATAGGGAAAGGAGCTACCATTTCCCTGGGTGTGTGATGCCTGCAGCAATCACAGGAACTTCATGAGCTAGGGCTCATTAGGTTCCTGTTACCTCCACAGAGCTGGAGGAAGCCCTGACATCTGGAGATGCAGCTCCTAAACCTCTTGTGTAAGTGATGTTTCCCCCTGCTCCTGCCCTGCCCCAACTATTCTGCTCATCATGGCTGCATGGCTGCACTGGGACAGCCACATCCCTCCCAGCACCCACATTTTTGCTGTCCAGCACCCCATGCCATGGGAGGAGCAGGGGACAAGGCCACACACAGCACCCAGGCAGCTCAGGTGATGGAGGGAGAGAAGCAACACAGGGGTCTGTGCAAGGAAGGTGCCTGGCCCTGCCACGTCTGGTGGGCAGAGCTGCCTGGAATATTTCAGTGCCAGGCAGTGGCCAAAGAGGTGACACCAGACACCAGGAACTGTTTGGAAAAGCCACTGTGTGTTAGTGTGTTTGACTTTGTTTTAATCGTAATAATGAGTCTTGATAAACTTATTTTTATTAATTAACATACTTGATTTAGGTAACTTCCTTTTTTAAATATGTAATACTACCAGGGTATTAAAGACAATACAGAAACCATCACATGCATCCTCAAGTGCTGCACGTGGTTCTCCTTGGCCTCAGAGCAAAACCAGCCAGGCAGAAATGACACACAGTGACAGGGAAAGCCTGTGTGGAGCAGGCCAGCACATGGTCCACACAGACTTTGAGTGATACAGGAAGGGGAGCAGCGAGTTCCCCTCATCTATGAGGTAGTGAAGGAGGAACTTCATGGGCTATTTTTGAGGCAAAACCCATGTAGGCTGTGCTCCAGGATACTGTGGATGCCTGGAAATGGGATCCAAAAGGGATCCAGCAAGCTGCTGAACGATATGCCCAGCTGCACAGTTACAACTCACACAGTCCATGCCAGCTACATGGTGGCAGCATGCAGGTTCACATTACCACCTCCAGCTTTCCCTGACAGGGATCTGCCCTGTCCCCACGTCCTTGTGCCATCCTCAGGCAACACCACCATTATGGCTTAGAGAGTCCTAATTAACCCCCATCACAGGCAGCCCTGTCAGATGTGGGAAGGAGCCACCTTGGACCCCAGTTCTTGCTGTGTTAGGCTTCACCCCTGTTCCTCAGAGCAGGATAAACCACAGGTCCCATCATTTAAGGGTAACCTTGAAACCTTTGCAGATCTTGCCCTCCAGTCTTTTGTTTGAAGCTTTCAAGAATGACCCTTGATTTTTTTTTTTAACCCAGTGCCAGGAGTGCCCCATAAATATGCAAGTCCCAACTCACCCCTAGGGTTTCCAGCTATATGCACTGCTGCAGGATATGGCTTGCACAGATCAGCATGGCATGCATTTGGCAGACAGCCCCAGACCCACTGCAGCAAGGGTGGAAGTGGAGACAGGGAGAACTCAGGAGAACTGCCTAAAGCATGGAGAACCAGGGGCTGTGGCTTCCCCCTAGACCTGGGCAGAGAGCTGGCTGAGTGGGGAAAGCAGGAAACAGTAGTCCCCACAGCCACCTCGATGAGGGCCACCAGCTCCTCATACCCTAAGGGCGTTCCCAGTAAGGAAAGGAGGCCCCAGACCAGTCTGTTCCCATGTCAGGTAAATGACCCTCGGTGGGGTATTTCCTGAGTGGGCAGCCTGCCCTCCAGTGCCCTAAACTTTGCATCAGCCCTGCCAGGGAGGACAGGACACTGAGCCAGACATTTGGACTGGGGTGAGAACAGGATGGGCACGGTGAACAGAGAGAGGTACCAGTCCCACACTGTGGTGTGGAGGGGAAGGGCAGCCCACCCAAGGGTCTCCCAGTACCCAACTGAACTCCAGCACATGGATAGCCCCCAGCCCAGGGAGCAACCTGCTGGGTGCCCATCTCCAGCATCACACCAAGGACAGTCCCTTGGTGCTGCAGGACTGGTGATGGGGACAAACTCTGGGTCACTGCCCTATTCCAGCCTGAGTGGGTGCCCATGGGGAAGTTCCCTGCGCTTGTTGGAAAGCAGACAGGAGCTGCCAGCTCCCATGTCTGACCAGCTTTTATTGAGCAGGGCAAAGCTGAGATGTAGCTGTGAATACATGAGGAGCCCAGCTCCCTTCTGTTCCCAAGCAGAACAGCTTCCCAGGCAAGATCCCTGGCACCTGCCTGGGCTGCCCTATGCCAAAACTGGGATGGATGCAGCCCAACAGCCTTGCCTGCCCCAGATTTCCTTCCTCCCCAGCTGCAGAGCACTGGCAGGATAGAGAAGTTTTGCAGGTGCAGCCCTTTGAGCCATCTCCACATCATGCTGTCCTCCCCAGACAGTTCCAGCAGCACATGGCTCCTCATCGCCCCTAGAATGTCCTCAAACACCAACAAACTGCTTGAGCTCCTCATCTTCAGCCCCAGGCTTGGTCACGAGTCCTTTTTTCTTGCTGCCAGTGGGGCAGATGGGGCAAGGGAGTCCTTGGTGCCAGGCTGTTCCCACCAGGGCCAAGCAAGAGTAACAGTCAGCTCTTCCGTGCTGGAGTCCTGCTCTCCACTGCAGCTGGAGGGACATGACTCCACAAGTGCCCCATGCTGGGGACAAAGGCAGCTGGCTCAAACCCAGGTGGCAGGAGCGAGGCTGGGGGCAGGGCAGAGGCTACCTGCGTGGTGTGCCACATCTGCAAAGAGAGCATGGCACAGGGTGAGCAATGCCAGCACGGGAGCCTCACCTGCTCTGCCCTGGATCCCCTTCTTTGTGCCTGGCCCCTGTGACACAGAACTGCAGGGCAGGCCTGCAGGCAGCCTCTTCGCGGGGAGGAGTGAGGGTGCTGGGGCTGGCACCGGCTGAGCCCCCAACAGCAGACTTCAGACAAAAGGGGGAAATGCTAGAGCAAACTGCTAGCCACAGATGTCACACCTCAAAAGTGCCCACAATGAGTCCAGCCTGTGCTGCTACAGCAAGGAGTTTGAGAAAGTGAGATAAAGGATGGAACGAGTAGAGTAACCCAAACAACAGTCAGTCAAGGACAGCAGTAAGGACAAAACTGGCAGCAAGATGAGGCTGAAACTAGAAATTCATGAATCCAGGAAACCCAGCATGGTCTGTGATGGCAATAGAGCTAAACACCATCAAGTCACCCAGCCCATCCATCCCCATTGTGCTCAAGTTTGAGCTGAGCCTGGAGACTATCAAGTACCTTCTGAGTCTTTGGTAGAAGGCCTGTTTCCCCACAGCTACTGTCCCCTCCTGCTTACTTCTGTGTCTGCTCTGCACAAACCCTTCACTGCTCACAGTGTCAGCAAAGATCTAAATGCTTAATGAAGACATTCATCCCAAGAAAATTAACCCAGAAGATGCCACCCATACCTGCCCCTGCTCACTTACAGTTCACAGTCTTTCCGTCCCTTCTTGTCTTGTCTTCTCTTACCTCGGCCCTTGGACCTCCTCCTTTAGAAGGAAAGTACCACAAGAAGGGTTGATGTGTGGGAGATGAGACCCACAGTCCCAGCCAGTAACAATGCCCCTGGTGTCACTTACCTTCCCAGCCTCATCAGGTCCTGCCGGGGCCTGCAGAGTGGGAAAAATGACAGAGAGAAGTGGTCATTGGGCAGTGCTGCACGTTGAGCTGCAGGAGCTGGTCCTGTGACATGCCCCAGCACACAGCAAAATCTACCTGTTATCATTCATGTTTAAAAGAGACACAATATCACTTCTCTTGACCTTATCAAGCCCTCAGTCAGGGCTGATTGCAGCAGGCAGAGAGAAGGCAGAGACAGCAAAGGGGCTGGTCGGCTTGGGTGACTACCCTGGGGATGTGACATTTTACCAGTGAGGCTGGGGAGGGCAAGTTCAGTCTTAGCTGCTCTTAGTGATGGCTTTCACATCTCACAGTGAAACAAGGTGCAGCGTCCTGAGTAACAAACATGGGGGATTTGCTGCAGAGTCTCAGTAGTGGTTCTTAGCCATGACCTACCTCCCCCATGGGGGTCACAGCAAGGACATCTGCCACACCTACACTAACTACAAAAGGGAGTGATGTACGGGTGTGGAAAGCAGATTAGGAAGAAGCCAAAAACTGCTGCAGAAGGCAGTCTGTACAAGTGCTCATAGGAGGTCCCCTGGGAGTTACCCTAGGCAGGAAAACCACAAAAAGCTTAGGAAATTCCCTGCATGGGAAATAGCTGGAAGCAGAGAAGGAGGCAAGTGACATATCTGCTTCTTCCCACTCTCCCTTCTGCATCTACTGACAGACATTCCAGACAGAGACTGTGTGGAACTGGGTCTGCTCCAGTACAGCTGCTCGTAAAACTGCAGGGGAATACCAATATGGGAATCCTCAGGATCTCTGAGGACCCTGCTCTTCCAGGCAAGGGTCATGTCTAATGGCTGCCCAGCAGGACACACATCCCCCAGTTTTCACAACACTAAATCACCCTTGGATCATGATGAAGAGTGATTACCAGGACCCCCCATGCAGGCAGTGCTGGAGTCTCTATGGCAAGGATCAGCTGCAGGCAGCACCAGAGCTGCTCCCACAGCATTGCAGTCCTCAGGCAGAGGCCCCATTCTGCCCAGGCTTTCACCACTTTTGGACACAGTGAGCATCCCAAGGGGTTGACAAGGTGCCAGGAGTCTGTGGCAGGCAGGTGCTGCGCATCCATTCCAGGCCAGCACTGCCTATCCAGGCCAGGCTGGCACTGTGTGTTTTAGGTTTTCATTTGTTGGCTTGGGTGTAAACCTCTGCCGTACCCCCAGGTCTGTATGGGACAGCCTCCCTCAAATGGTGGCCCAAGACTCAGCTGCTGAGCTTCCTCTGTGGGCCACGGTCACATTCAGGTATGCCAACCTTGGAGCTCCCCGCTGAGCCACCACCTTGGATGTGCTATCACACACCAAACACCTGCCACAGAGCCACCAGCCTTACTCCATTACCCACAGGCAGGTCCTCTGGCTAAAGGAGCATACACCAGGCATGCCAAGGCAGCTGCAGGGATGGGGACACAGCCCTGCAGACAGTGCATGGTGCCTGACCAGCCTTCACATTGGCACGCACCCCGTCATCTGCGGGGAGCAGGTGCGGAGATGTGCTGCAGCCTGCAGCTGGACAGGGCCACAAGCACTAGCAAACCCTAATGCAAAGACAGCAAGAAGGGGTGCCAGCACAGCCAGGGTGCCCAAAGGGCAGCCCTGCTCCACACACAGGGTGAGCTGGCAGGGTTGCCCTTGCTGGAACCCAGGAGTCCCTACCTGCACTCGCACCGCTTGTGCTCGGTGAACGCCATCTCCACATAGGGTGCCTCCCCATTTGGCTTTATCTTCAGGAGCTGAAAGAAGAGCAAAGGTTACTTCTCAGGCAGTGGCAGGAGGGGGCTGGAAAGACTCCTGCACCACTGCCTTGCCACCCCAGGCTCTTGGGAAGATGCATGTCTAACCTGTTCCTCGGGACCTCCAACAACAGAGTCCACCTCCACACGTAGGCAGCGCTGGCCAGGCCCAGCTGCCCTGGCAGCTTGGGAGGCTCTGCTAGTGCCGCCCCTTGTCTTCGGGGCTTTAATTTAAGTCCCATTGTCTTGGGATTTTCCAGCCTTAAAAAAGATTTTTCAGTCTCTGCCTTTCCAGAGAATTTTCACATATTTGACCCCTTCACACACCCCCTTTCTCTGACAGAAATATCTCCCCAGTCATGTTTTTCAGGCCAATCCCATTGCTGCTGCCTCCTCCTGGACCCCTTTCCTACAGCACTGAGTTGGAATTGACTGGAGTCAGTACCACAGTGTCTCCCCAGCCCAGGGGTACAGGATTCGCCCTGCCACATGTCACAGCCCAGCCTGAAGTTCAGGTTGGACATCCAAGGGCCTTACAGAGCAAGTTCACCATTGATGTGATCCACACTAGCCCCTGTAGAAGTGTCTGGCATTTCCACTCTGTACACAGCAGGAAGATCCCTCCCACAGAGGGAGACCTGTGCTTGGGGAGCTGCCTCCTGTTCACGCCAGACTTTTGATCAACCTCAGCCAAGAGCTTTTTGCCATCCTGCCTTCCAACACACTTGGAGAGAGACCAAAATCCTCACAGACTTCAGCGAGACCAAAATCACTGGTGATTTATTACAGGCATTCCCTAGTCCATGATCCATGGCAAAGCAGAGCATTTCCCTGGTCCCTACAGCATCAGCAGGTTGATCTCTGGCAGCTCAGTGCCAGGGCTGCAGTGTGAGGACAACTGCTGCCTGGTACATGGGGAAGAGTTGAACGGCCCGGATCTCCCCCCCCCACATCTCACAGCTCACACAGTGGTGACTGAAAATGCAGTTGGCTCAGCCCTTCGTGCTCACCATGCCCCAGTGTGGGGGCATTCATGTCAGCACCACCCCAAGCATCGCCTGATAGAGGAGAGCCTCACTTCTCCCTTCGATCCAAGGACAGTACCTGCTTTGTCCCAGCAGGCAGCCACGGCTGACTGGAACACCCCCCAGCCCCACCACGGGACAGCAAAGTTCTGGGAAAATGACAGCAATGAACAAGACAGACCACACAGAGAGAAGTCGGGGAAGGAGGCAGTGAGGCAAGTACCACCAGGGGTGACACCTGACCTCAGGAGCAAGCTCAAAGAGCAGGCAGAGGGACCCTACTGGCTTGGCACGCATTTGAGCGGTTGTAAGTCCGCTCCCTTGCTAGCCGCACTGCTACAATGTCTAGGGGATGCAAAGCTGCTAGTTCACCCTCCCGGCGCTCGGTGAGCACAGCCCCGGCCCCGCAGCAGCAGCACGTACCTGCATGGTGACCGTGCTGGTCTCCACGGGGACGCAGCGGAGACCCTCGTCCCCACAACAGCCTCCACAGCGCTGCAGGGAGACGCACGAGGGTCTGAAAATGTACTCCACCTCGTTGGGGAATTCGGTAATGACGTCCACCAGCTGCTCTAGAGGCCGGCAGAAACTACGATTCCAGATCTCCCGAAAGGTAAGGACTGCAAGAGACAGGGACAGGGACTATAAGGAGGCGCCCAGAGAGGCAGAGCCCAGCGGAGCCGCTGCGGGGCAGGTGCAGCAGCCGCGGGGGGATCCTGCAGCCACCGCGGAGCACAGGGGAGTAAAGGACCACTTTGTGCTCCCAGAAAGTCCGTCAGCGTACTGTGCACATCACTGTGCGGGGGCTCACACAGCCGCCCCGACAGGCTCTTTCTCCCTCTATCTGCCAGCTCCGTCTCCTGCCCAGGCACTCTGCTCACCCCGAGCTCCGCCGCGAAGGGGCTCCCCCGCACCTCGCCCGGCCGGACAGCCGTCCCCTGGGGCTTTCCAGCACGGAGAGCTGAAGCGGAGCGCTCCCGCCCGGGACCCCGCATGCCGGCGCCGCAGGGGCGGCAGTCCGGGGACTGGGCTGTGCTCCGCTCCGGCCCGCGGCGGTGCCCGGTGCCCGAGGAGGGCTGGGGGCACCAGGTTCCTCCGAGCCTCGGCACAGCTCCCGGCTGCCTCCCCGGCTGTCACCACAGGACTCCAGAGGTAACACAGCCCCGGGTAGTACCCAACGCGCCCCGGCCTTGCGCGAAGCCTTCCCTGGGTTGCTGCCCCCTCCCAGCCGGGGCACCGGCGGCCGCCCACCACCAACTCACCGGGAGACTCCGTGCTGGCGGTCCCCCGTTCCTCCGGGGCCTGCAGGGAGGGAAAGGCTCTGGAGGGGCAGCACGGGGTGACCCGCTGCCGCCCCCCGCCCAGCGCCGGGAGCAGCTGTCCCGGCCTCCGTGGCCACCCCGGGCAGCCGCACCCTGCTCCGATCCCCTCCCGCCCCTCGGCTCTCACCGGGGCGGGCGGTGCCCCCAGCGTCCCGGCCACCAGCAACCGCAGGAAGGCGCCGAGCAGCCGCATCGCCGCTCCCGCCGCCCCGGTACGGACTCGGCGCCGCCACTACCGCCCCGCCGCCCCCGGCATGCGCGCCCCGCTCCGCCGCCGTATTTCACCGCCACCGCCCCGCCGCTGCCCCGCCCCGGCCCCGCCGCGGGGCGGGAGCAGGTGCCCGGCCCCGGCCCCGCGGGGACGGCCGGTGCTCCCGGACGCGGCGGAGCCTCCTCCTCCAGCGCCCCCGCACCGCCTCCGGCCATTGCTCCATCGGGCTGCCCCGGCGCTTCCATTCACCGTCCCGAGCCCGATGAATCCCCGGCCGGCGGGAACCACCGGGGCTATGCTGGGCTTCTCGGCTTGCTGTTTTCACTGCTCCGTGCCCATCCACTCATTCTGTGCCCACCTGGCTCCTGCCTCCATAAAACAGCCCCTTTCTCACGCATTCTCTTCATTCCTCTGCTGATGCCCCGTTCCCACTCAGACTTCTAGTGACTGTCCGCCCACCCCCTTCCCCCTCAAGCTGCCCCGTGTCTGTTCCATCAGCTCCTGCTGTTGGACCCCTGCCAAAGGGTTTCCAGCTCCCCCAGCCCCAGGGACAGCATCCTGGTTCTGGTCTACAGCTTGGAAGGGAAGGGCATACAGCAAGTTTCAGGTCGAATCCTGCTGCCAACCCAAAGAAGCTCTGTTGGCCTTTTCTGTTCTATTTTTAAGCCCCAGAGGCCAGGGAAGCTGGAACTATGGGAGGTGTGATGAGATGCCAACAGGCAACACGATCCCCCGTGGGCTGCAGGTCCTAGGGAAATAACAAGCTCTGTGTCCATGCCAGGATTCACGTTTCTGTCCTCCTGGGAGAGTGGGGAGGCTGCTTCAGGGCTTCCCTACCCAACACCATGTGAGGTCTGTCCCTGCAGCATGAGGATGCCAGTGATCTGCTCCCAGCCCTGTGGGATCTGTCCCCAGAGGATGCAGGAATGTCAGCTGCCTGTCCTCAGCCCTGTTGGGCCATGCAAGTGGCAGTGACTCAGGCTGGGCTCAGTCAGGAGCTTCTAGGCATTGGTACCACTGAGTATGTGACAAAGCTACTGAAGGAAGACCTGGCAAATTAGCATGGAGATGCTGCAGAGATAAGCACACAGAAATCCCAGCCCCACCGCGGGGAGGGTGTGCTGCAGTTCATCACTCAGCGGCACAGCACCGACTCAGCAGCTGCCGGGGCTGCTATGGCAGCATTCAGTACCTGTTCCTTCTGGCTGGGCAGCAAAAAGCAGGTAACATCTTTAATGTGATGACTGGTGCATGCCTGTGGTCTCCCTCTGCCACCCTACGGACCCTTCTGGGCCAAGGGGACCCCCTTCCCACTTGCCCAGGGATAGTTGTGAGATGGAGGAAGAGAGCATTTCCTCCCACCCGAGAGCAGAGGCCGCCCTGAGCAGCAGCTGCTGCCAACTCACTGGACAGACAGAATCCTGTTATTGCAAAGACCGTGACCACATGGGGCCTCATGCCTGTCCTTGCAGGAAGGTCCCTTGGGGCCACCTCTCAGACACAAGGCCAGCCTCTGGCGCTGGAGCAAAGGGCTCTCCCCCAGGCACTGTGTGGCTGGGGAGACCAACCCTTAATTGCTGAGTGCAGTCCTGTTCCTGGTCTGAAGCTATTTCCTCAGAGGCCTTGGGCAGAGTTTACATTCCTGGGATGAGCATCCACTTTCTAGGCAGTGTGGAACAGAGACAGGAGAAGAGGAATAATATTTGGACACCGGTAACCTGTGATCAGCAACATCCTCCTGCATATGGGAGAAGCATCAAGCTGGCTGGGGTCACATCTGCTTGCTTTCCCCTCTGCCATGCTCCTCCCCGGGGGGCCAAATCTGCCCTTCCCCAGCTGCAGGATAGGGCTGGAGGTCGATACTATAAATGCACCAGCATGTCCCTCGTGCCGCCTCCCACTCGGCTCTGGGGAGCAGAGTTACGCATTTTGGGAGCAAGGGACAGAGGAAGCTCAAGGAACCAGCCAGGCACATAAGGAAAACAGAGACATTTCCTTAGAGAACAAATGCCTCCCCTGCAGTGAGCCCCACGCAGTGGCGGCTGACTGAGAGCATCACCTCGGATATGCCACTGCCTGCCCGTGCCACCTCCCTGCCCTGCTCACAGAGCTGAGGAAGCAGGTAGGTGAGGAATGATGGTGTGTCCTGGCTGTGGGTGAGCTCTGGCTGTCAGGTGGGGAAGGCCAGCTCTGGCACCCAGCTGCAAGCATGCCATGGCACAGCCCTGCCAGGTTCCTTCAGGGTGAGGGGCAAGAGCAGGGGCCCTGGCTGCCCATGAGCACTGAAGGAGCCCAGAGGAAGCAGCTGCTCTTCCCTGCAAAACCACACCCTGCCCATTGCACTCAAGGTCCCTCTTAAGTAATCTTTTCCATAAAACAGCCCCATTTCAGCACCAGAGTTCTCTAATGGGCATCTTATACCCTGCAAAATACCCCCTTTGGTATCTCACATGTAAAGAACCCAACAAAAATTTGTCCCTGCATCATTCTTAAACTGACTGCAGCCAGGACCTCCTGTGTCACCCCTGAAGCCCTCGGAGAACAACTCTGAAATCCTCAGGGCATTATTTTTGTTCTACTGCTATTTAGGACACATAACTCAGTCTCATCCAAGCTATAAGCTTCTACCAAGGGAAGGACCATGATCCAGTGCCCAGCACAGTCACCCTCTTGTGTTTGACCCCAGTAGGCAAGAACTGCACCAGCAGCTCCCTATATCCTGCATTGTGATGGGACTCCTGAGGTCAAAGCAGCATGAGGATGTAGGGCACTGGGCACTTCACCTGCCCATCATCCCAGAGCCCCCAGGTCTCACCCTCGCTGTTTCATTTGATTGCTTTCATTTGATTGCTTCTGGGATCTCTTCTTAGAGAGTCTCCTAAGCTCCACTACCAGAGAGCCAGTCCACAGCTAGGACTGAGATAAACCAGGTCAATCATCTGCAGTTTGTATCTCCACAGTGAGAATGAGGATGGGAATGATCGGGCTGGCGCATCCCCAGCTCCAGCCTCTTGGCACAGGTGACCCAGGGCAGGCAGCCGGTGGGCACAGGGAGCCCAGGCCTCTCTCTCAGGAGACTGTGCTGACTTCTGAGAAACACACAGATCTCCAATGCCCTTGCAGAGCTGCACCAATGACCCCTGAACAGTCAGGGCTGCTCCTCAAGGAAACAGCTTTCAAACATCCTACCTGGGCCCTGAAGGACTCCTCAGAGCTGTGCTGCAGCAGCTCCAACTCTGAGATGTCCTGGGCAGCACATCCCCTGTCCCTGGCGGCTGGCTGTGGTGGCGTCAGCGCCTCTCCCAGCCCAGGTGCGCAGGGGGATGTGTTTGCTGAGGGGCAGGCTGACAATAGAGGGAAATGGGCCGGGCTGTGCACCCCAGTGGTGGTGGCTCACGGCTCCGGCCTCCGCGGCCCGCGGCAGGCGGAAGCGTCCGGCCTTAGTCAGCCCCGGCCGCACGTGGCAGGAACTCTGCTGTTTGTTTTGGTTCCTGGGGAGGGGAGCTCAGCCTCCCTGGGGACCCACAACCAAACCTGCAGGCACCTGACGGTCCAGTTCCATGCCTGGGGACATCAGGGTTTGGTCCCCATGGGTCACAGGCACTGCAGGCTGGCCTAGGTCAGACATGAGTTTTGGAGGGGCATGGGATGAGCACCAGGACTGCCTGAGAGCATTCCAGGCAGAGAACCCAGGCAAGGGGAATCCTTGGCAAGTCTGGGTACTGCTTTCAGACACTAATCCCTTTTGGGGCAGGGACGATGCTACCAAGAAAGATGTCCCTGAGACTGCCAGAGCCAAGCCCTGGGTTGGGTGTGTGCGGCCCTCATCCAGCCAGCGTTCCAGGAACAGATCAATGTTGGCAGACCCAGTGCCACTCACCCAGTGCTCAGTGGGCAGCCCCACGCTGCGGGGATTGGCCAGGCCAGGGGTGTTTGCAGAAAAGCACAGCCCTGGAGCAGGGTGAGGCACTGGAGAGCCACACCACAGCCCCAAGCATACGTGGGCACCTACAGGTAAGCGTTCTGTCAGCAGTCCCGACAGCGAGCGCAGTTACGGTGCCAAAACAACAGCCCCATGCACACCAAGTGCCTGAGAGCAGAGCAGGAAGTAGAGACACAGCACAGCTCACCCTGCTCTGTCCAAGTCCCTCTCCTGAAGCCCTGGGTGGGAAATGCAGCCCCAGAAAGCCTGCAGGAATTTCTCTCCAGAAGCTGTAGAGTGCGGTGCTTGGGAAAAACAAGGCTGAGAGCAGGACGGACTGCTGCAGCAGTGTGCATGACCTTCTGCCACCGGCAGAGACAGAGCACCCTGGGCCCGCACCGCCTGGAGGCACCGGGTATGCAACCACGGAGGGGCGAGATTCTCCCAGCAGGAGCAGCCCTCTCCTCAGGAAAGAGAAAGAGACTTTTCCACCAGAGAACCAAGCATATTCTGCACATTTATCATCTTTCATCTACCCTGGGGAAAGGACAGTGAGCGCTGAACAGCGAAGAGAGGCACACAGGCACAAAGCAGCTGCTGCTGCTGCCCCTGCTCTCCAGCTTTCCCAGCCCAGCCGGTCGGTGGGCAGGGGCTGCCAGGCGCTTTTCTCCCCTGCCAAACTGGAACCCGATCCACACCCAGCCCAGAGCTTCTGGCCGCTTATCATGTGGATGCAGTTCTCCTGCTTTTAGTTGTCATAATATTGACACAAAGCAAAATAACAGTGATGGCAAGACTCTGCCTGGCTCTGGAAGGCAAACAGGCAAGGAGACGGGGAGTAGCAGACTCTGCTATTGTGTGGGACAGGGCAGCAGCCAGAGCTGCTTCCAAGCTCTGCTCCTCAGCATCATTCCCGCTGATAAGAGGGGGATGTGGGATGCGGGCAGAGGGCAAATATAAGCTCCACAGCACACCCTCCCTGCTGAGGAGAGTGAACGTGTGTATCGGCAGGGCTTCATCCCAGAGGCTTTCCTAGAATGTGGGTGGAGGAGTGGCTCATCTCTCCCTTTCCCCGAAACCTGGCAGCCGCTGAATAGCTGCCATCACCCGCAGCAGACAATGAGCAAAGCGAG